ATATTCAGTTTTCAGCAACACAGACCATGGAAGGTCTTCGTCAATATTCAGTTTTCAGCAACATAGACCTAGGAAGGTCTTCGTCAATATTCAGTTTTCAGCAACACAGACCATGGAAGGTCTTCGTCAACATTCGGTTTTCAGCAACATAGACCATGGAAGGTCTTCGTCAACATTCAGTTTTCAGCAACATAGACCATGGAAGGTCTTCGTCAATATTCAGTTTTCAGCAACACAGACCATGGAAGGTCTTCGTCAATATTCAGTTTTCAGCAACATAGACCATGGAAGGTCTTCGTCAACTTTCAGTTTTCAGCAACATAGATCACGGAAAGTCTTCGTCAATATTCAGTTTTCAGCAACACAAACCATGGAAGTTGTTCGTCAACTTTCAGTTTTCAGCAACATAGACCATGGAAGTTGTTCGTCAACTTTCAGTTTTCAGCAACACAAATCATGGAAGGTTCTCGTCAATATTCAGTTTTCAGCAACATAGATCATGGAAGGTTCTCGTCAACATTCAGTTTTCAGCAACACAGATCATGGAAGGTCTTCGTCAATATTCAGTTTTCAGCAACATAGACCATGGAAGGTCTTCGTCAACTTTCAGTTTTCAGCAACACAGATCATGGAAGGTCTTCGTCAAAATTCAGTTTTCAGCAACACAGACCATGGGAAGGTCTTCGTCAATATTCAGTTTTCAGAGGGAATGAGATTGTTGGAAAACAAAGCATCCACTAGTTGTAGCTAGAAAAGTAAAAAAATAATAATAACAACAACAAAAACAAAACAAAAAAAACGGAAATTCAATATGATATTATACAGTCTGAAAACTTATAACGCTAAAAACCAGGTTTCGATACCCGCAGTTGTCACAGCACAGATATCACATTGTGTAGCTTTGTGTGTAATAACAAATAAACAAAACTTCTACTTCCTATGATATAGCCAGTCTCTACATGAAGGGCGAGCTCCTGGCGGTGTAACCGCTGAGATTGTCATCCAATATATATTTTTTGATAACACGAATATAACGTAACAATTTTCAAATTTTATATGTTGAACAATGTTTACATGGGCCAATGTTAATGTCTAGTTGAAACCTAATTTTAATAAAAACTTAATTATAATACAAGTTGATAATTTTGTTATCTTTGGTTCATAATACGAACACATTATACAAAAAATATATGTTTTATAGAACACTATGTATCGCAGTTTTTAATACGACATTTGTTTTTGTCGTTAAGAAAATTGTGTTTATGTTGTTTTTAGCACAAATCTACACAATGGGCTATCTGTGTTCTGTTCACCGCGGGGAGTCAAACCCCGGATTTGACTGTTGTAAATCCGTAAAATTATCACTCACCCACCGGAGACAACTTAGAAAACAAATAACATCATAAAATATTTCCAAATTGCAGCTACGTAGAAATATTATGACTCACGAAGAAATGCTTTAAAACTGAAGAATGTTAGCAATGAAACTAGAAAACTTTTATTTAAATCCAAAGCAATGCATGCAATAAATAAAAATTTTATTGTTAAATACTTGCGGTAAGGTTGTGGCTATCAAACATCAATCATTGTTAACGTTAATAGCCTATACGATCATTTAAGTATAATTATTAATTAGTTTCTATGTTTTCAGTAATTAATAACAAATAATAATAAATTAATAAATCAAAAGACTGTGAACTCCAGAGTATCTTTCGAAGTTTTCTTTATTCCTCAACATTTCGGCTTTACGCCTTCATGAGAAACATAAATTTTCTGTAACGTACGTTATCACTCAAATTAACACCCGTGTATTTTTGTTAATAATTAGATTTAGGTGACTACTAACCGTAGCAGAAATTTCATTGTTTAGTTGAATTTATTGCATAGCATCTATGAAATCGAAAACAATGTACTGTTTGTGGGCACAACTCATACACAAATTTGTTTGGTGTTAAGCGCAAAACTACAAACGGGCTATCAGCACTGTATCCACAGCTGGTATTGAACCCCTAATTTTAGCATTATAAACCCAATAGCTTACTTCTGCGGAACCGAAGGACTGTTAAACGAGAGGCAGTTATTTAACTTTTTTTTTGCATATGCGTTTCATTATATATCTATATATAAAGCCTAATTTTAAAACCATCAGTTTTCATTTATAATTTTCGTGTTAAATTCCTATCATTCCAATATCTTCATTCAATAAAATTACGTAAAAGTCTGACTAAACATGTATCAGTGACTTCACTATTTATAAAATATCTGGATGTAATAAGTGCATATATATTATTAACTCCACCGGCGCAGAGACCAAGGAGGAAGAAATAAACCTGCCTATAAGAGTAGAAAATGTTTATCACGTGGCTTTTGTTATCCAATCAAGTACAAGCTTCCGGCGTGAACCATTTACAGTCGCTCTTCTCCCTGGTTGTATGTGACAAGCATAGAAAAACTTTCCATCAACAGCCGCCATATTAGTTTGTTTCGGGAATATTGAGCGATAGATGTAGAGAAATCTTTCGTATTTACCATTTGTTTTTTAAATATCAACCATAGCTAGAGTTTAGATATCTAGTTATAAGGAAAGTTTATAGTAAGAAAATGTATTTTATTTTGAACGGATTGAACCGTGTTTAAAGTTTCTAATGTAGCCCCTAGTGCGTGAAGTCTAAGTTAAGCGTCTTTCGATGCCACATTGCCAGTCAACATAAGCAGAGCCATACCGTACACAGGATCTACAAGCCGAAACGCTTTGGCTAGTTTGGATTTGATGGAGGCGGGGGCTGATCGAGATGCGTTAAAGACAATCACGACGTCAAATCGACGAAAAATGGCCTGAAATCGGACATGTGCACAGCACAGTCTGTATTTCCGTGTATTGTAACGCTGCTTGAATTTTTGACATTTAATTATCCAACAGTAAACGGCATTTGACAAGATTAAAATATTTAATGTGGCAGATAAACTTACTCAACCAGGTTAATGCGAGAACCTGGCATAACTGATATTGATAACAAGCTTATTACTAACGTTAGCTTTATGCACAGGTTATTTAGTTCATAGTTGTTAAGATACGAAGATACCTTTAAACTGAGCAAAATGGCTGATCTTGTTGACGGAAGGCCACCAAATAAACGGCAAAAATTATCTGAACCAACGCTGTCAACATCGGATGGCACAGGTAAGCTGTCTTACTTTTGAATATTACATGACACGATTGTTGTTGAGTTACAGTATGGTATATGTTAAATATCACTGTCTGTTTTCAACTCGTGGGATTTAAGTTCGAGTCAGATTGCAAGTTTGGCTTGTGTTACTCTGACTTAGGGCTAATTTAATGTAATATGCAACAGGAGCTGTTCATTCATGTAATTAAAAGCTACAAATACCAAGATTCATGTTTGAAGACTTGATAAGCTTTGTCTGCTTGCGTGAGATTATTTACGAAAGTTTCAACCATATACTGCTACTCATCAGGTTCGAACAGGTGGATAAAGATAATACCAACATGTGTTTTAGCCTTCAAATTTCAATTGTGAACAAAATTCCTTCTTACATATAACTTCCTTAATCACCAACATGACTGCTGTAGTGAGGTTATCAATATTGTGACTTTTAGTAAGATAAAACACCTTAAAACGTACGCTGTTATACTATTGCATAAAAGTGTAAACACAGAGGTAAGTTGAGTATACATCTGATTGTCTTAACAACATTTTTTTTTCACTTCTCTCTTGTTAGAGCTCTCTAGTTTACTGTCATAGTAATGTTTGCACTAACTAAAAGTTATAATTCTGTGCTTGCATAATTATTTCACATTTTCTGTGAAGACTTTTATTAGTTCTGGATAAGTGAAGTTATCCAAATTTTTTGAATTATTTAACCAGATTGCTTTTTGTCAAGTTTTAATAAGAGGAAACAAAATTTTATTGTGAAGTATTGTTCAAAGATCAATAATTGGGTGAAAAAAAACCCACCAAAAATAAACATTAGAAAAACAGTAATTTTTAATTTTAAATAACAGTTTGGTGGAATATTCCTTCTTCGGGTTATCGTATTAAAGTTTACACGATTACACAGATGATTGATGAATAGTAAGAGGGTAACTGATTTGCTTATATAACAGTGAGTAAATTGCCATCAACAGTAGTGGAGGCTGGGATGTTACAAGAGGTTAAAAGGAGAATCAGTGATTTTCTGAAAATAAAAGATTGTCTTTTTTTTTGGAGGAGAGTGTGCAGGAACCAAATAGTCCCTGTTTGTTTGTATGTTATGTTAAAGTCTGAGTTCTGGAAATGTATTGTAACAGAATAACGTGCAGCAATTCTAATGAAGCACGTATGAGATTCAAAAGACAACTGTGTTAGTAGAGAGAATACAGAAATTTAAAAATAAGTTTGCCTTTTTGTGGAATATGAAAGCTATAAACTATCCTCAATATATCAAATTATCTTTGGAGTAATTATGACACAGTACAACAGTGGAATACTGGAAGTTTCTCTTTCTTTTAGCATATCTCCCACTAAGTGTTCTAGGTTTTAATATAATTTAAAATATTTAGAGAAATATCAGAAAGACAACACCGTGTGGGCCATATTGCAGAATGTACCTATAATATCATATTGATATGACAAGAACTTGAAAGATGTATTATTTCTGGCCGCCAGGAAGAAATCTGGAGTAACTATCTTTACCGACATGCAATACGATAAATAATTTATAAAATCAAATTCTCTCGGTCATATCTTCAAATGTTCGATCCATATCATTATTTCTCTACACTGTGGCCAACTTTTAAGTTAGAGAAACTTGTGTGCCAGCAAAACAAATACAGAAAAATCTTTGTACGATCCAGAATTCCTAGACCTGTTCCGAAGCATATTAACCAGTAACATCAGGATAATGGCTCTCGGTTGTACATCACCAATCTGTAGAAGGAAGACAACATGGTGAAAATGATCTAATTTCTAGACTGGTACTATCCAGCTAAAAGTAAAGAACGGTGTATTTAATTTTAATCACTTAAAGAACAAACTATCATTTACACATCAGATTAGTTGCACATGACATAGTGCTACTTTTAACCTTTTTTTCTATTCATCATTTAACTGTTCCTGGGCTAAAATGTTTTGAAACTGAGAGCTCTCTTGTAAAATTGAAAGTTCTGGTAATTTTCTCCGATGCAAAGTTCACAATGTTGATAGAATTACTTTATGTAATCCTGCAATCTGTACTGAAGATATTTAACTTTTTACTGTAACATCATTTACTACACAATACAAAGTATTACTGTAGTAGTTACTATTATAATGGTATGTCTTAGATTAAACTAATGTTATATTTTTTTTATAGTCTGTATGACAGTATAGGTTAATTATTAATAACATTAAGAATTAATGAAACAGCTCATCAGAAATGTTTTATTAAGATTTTTAAATGCATAACCAAATTGCACAAAACTCGCTAAATGTTTTCTAAATAGTGTCTAATTTTAGTGTGTAAAAATTTCTAACATTTGGTATTATATGTGTGCTACTTTCTAGTTTGTAAAGCTTTGAAATTTTGTTGAGAAATTGTTTTATGAGTCTTAATTTTTTTTTTTTTGTCAAGTAGATAATTTTATTTTATATATTCGGTCAGTTTTAATGTGTTTGATCTACGTATCATTTCATAATTTATTTCGCCAACTGCGGCCGTGAAACACCAATAAATCATACAAACACGGCAATACTCAAAATTTATAAACGATCCTTCAAATTGGCATTACAGGTATCTTTATCGGGTATCATGGAATATCTTGACAGTATTTTTGGGCAATATCAATTTATATTTACTAGTTATAATTTTTTTCCCATAAATAAAAAGCTTGTTTTTATGCTGTTTGAATTTAATAAACTAAAAGTAGTATTCAGTACTATAAAAAAAATTTGTATCATCTGATTAGTTTTGCTATTTTATGTACGTGATGAGAAGGTTAACTGGAGAAAATAATAATTAATAGGATGTGTGTTAAAAGTAAATCGTAAAAAGTTATTACCTTAGTCCTGATGTGTTGTGACATCATGAAGTTGATATACTTCACCAGCTTAATGAAGTTCACACAGTAACAGTTGTTGTAAAGAAATTTAATGTAAATAGTGTCTTAACCACTACTGTGTCATTCCACTAATCGGCAGAAGGCATTCAATATAGCACATATAGTATGGTTGACATGTCATTATACATTCTTTATTTTCATTTAGAATTTCTTTTCATTGATCTTATTCGATCCATTATCAATTTTCTGCATGCGAAATATAGTTACTCTTATGTCATGCGACGTAACAATGATCATTGGTTGGTGCTTAAGTTGAAGGACCAATATTACGAATAGTTCATTCACTTATTGAGCTGGGACCTCTAGTAAATAATTCTAAATCTTGATGATTTGAAAATGTTCAGAGACTACTGCTGGGAATAATGTCAACATTAATGTTCTACCGTTTTATCAAACTACTGAACATTAATGTTGACATTATTCCCAGCTACCGTTTTATTAAACTACTGCTGGGAATAATGTCAACATTAATGTTCTAACGTTTTATTTAACTACTGCTGGGAATAATGTCAACATTAATGTTCTACCGTTTTTGGTGCAAGATATACATGGATGGTGTAATTTAAGTTTATCTTCTTCTGTTTGACACTTGGGCCAAATAATATGGACCTTTGGTGGTGTTGTAATGGACTTCTTTCTCCTTTGGTGGTGTTGTAATGTACTTCTTTCTCCTTTGGTGGTGTTGTAATGTACTTCTTTCTCCTTTGGTATTGTTGTAATGTACTTCTTTCTACTTTGGTATTGTTGTGATGGACTTCTTTCTCCTTTGGTATTGTTGTAATGTACTTCTTTCTCCTTTGGTATTGTTGTAATGTACTTCTTTCTCCTTTGGTATTGTTTTAATGTACTTCTTTCTCCTTTGGTATTGTTGTAATGTACTTCTTTCTCCTTTGGTATTGTTGTAATGTACTTCTTTCTCCTTTGGTATTGTTGTGATGTACTTCTTTCTCCTTTGGTATTGTTGTGATGTACTTCTTTCTCCTTTGGTATTGTTGTGATGTACTTCTTTCTCCTTTGGTATTGTTGTAATGTACTTCTTTCTCCTTTGGTATTGTTGTAATGTACTTCTTTCTCCTTTGGTGTTGTTGTGATGGACTTCTTTCTTCTGTAGGTTGTTGTTGATTATTTGGTAAAGTAAGTGTTGTTGGAAACGTATTTTTAAAATTCCTTCTCTAACATTCTGCGGGTACTTTCGCTTATATGCTGTAGTCACGATTAACACTAAAATGTTGCAAACTTCCTTCCATGAGGAAAAACAAGATGACAATTTTCGAACACTATTGCAATAACACTTCACTTGGCTAGAATGTAACAAACACTCTGATGCTGACTAATGTTCACACACGTGTTTAGTGTTGGGGTTCTGTCTACAGCTTCTCTGAACCTTCAAGACTTCATGTGTTCATTACATCGCATTGATGATTCAAACAGTACCAACATCGAAATATGTCAAAGCATAGTTCACAATAGTATTTCAATGAAATTTTAGCTCAAATTATCGCTTTTCTCTAGGTTGAAAAGAAAAATTAAGCACATGTTAGTTTCAACAAATCACTACAAAATACTTTTCCATTCCTATATAGATACATAAGCCTAATTGGAAATATTCATTTAAAGGCTCAAGATATCACTCATTTTGTTCAAATTTTAACTTGTCTTCAACATAAAAATATATTGGTTTACAATCAGGTAAGTTACGATGTCTTTAAAAATTTTAAGTGTTCAATTTATATGTAAAATTACAGTGCTTGCTTAGAATTGCAGTATACTGATGAGTATTGAAGTTTACACACAAAATTCAATATATTAGTAATTTGGAATCTGGCAACTCCTCTTCCATGGAATTTAATGCTGAATTTCACTTAAAATTAGATCTTTTAAAATTGTCCATCCCTGTGGCAAAAGCTTTTATTTTTACATTTTAAAGAAATATATCAACCTTGGACTTCAGTTTTTAGGACAAAAATGCGGATTTAATGACACGGTTTTCTTTACACAAACATTTGGCTGGAATACACAAGAACAAGCTCCATTAATTTCATAGTCAATAACTGTACAACTGGAATAAACGCTGTTACAAATAACCTTTCAGTTATAAATACACAATCACAAATTTACAAAATAAATTTTAACCAGGCTGGCAACCAGTTCTTAAGAAAATCACCAATATATATCAAAACGAATGAAGTATATCACATTTAAGAAGCTTAACATATCTGATTTTTTATGCTATATGTTTCACTTTTATTTAACACAACTGAGTGTCTTTAGTCTATTTTATTGATGTACCATTTAAAAAGAATTTGGTGTGATTTATAACTTTACATATCATGAACGTGGTTCTATCTTTCCCTCACACCCTAACGTGGTCTATCTGTTCATGTTTTCCACATTTATTGCTGTTTTTTGAGAATATTTAAATTACAAGTAGTTGGTTTAAAACATTTCACTTGCCTCTTCTGTAAGAAAATTTGGTGACCAGAATTTGACTTTTTTAAAACTTGATCAGATTTGGATGGTAATTTACTGAATGCTGTTTCCAACCCCCCACTTATGACACTACCCTGGTAGTTGTTAACCATGTAACACTTCTGTGTCATTGACCAGCAGAATGTCTTACTAAAAGAAACTACAGATGGTGTATACTGTATTAATCGGAACTTCATCTGTTAAAAAGTTCCACTTTCTGTGTTCAAACTTACTGCATGACCTGATGCCCAAGGCCAATAGGGTAAAGAGCTCGGTAAATTAAGAAATCGGCTGGACCTTTGGAGCATTTATATAGCCTACTGATGTATACTTTTTAGGAATCAATATAAAATTTTATTTCTTTTTTTTCTTATAAGCTCCTCTAAGTATCAAAACTTACTACCCTACAAACTGAACATAGAAAATTTGTTTCAGTTAGCTAATCTTAATAAAATCAAATCAAAATCATTATAAAAATCTCATTGAGGAAAAATTGGGATTCAAGTGTCTTTGTTACTTCGATCTACTTTCATTTGTTACACTGTTATGTCAATACAAAACCATGGGGAAGTTTATCCAAGGGATAAGTCCTGGAAAACTGAGGGAAACAAGAAATGCAATGTAAATATGATGATACACATATTGTAACAGAAGTAGCCAACAAAATTTTCTTGGTTATTTGACAACTAAAGATAGCTAATATACATGCAGGACAATATTTGGTCATAATACCTCAGGTCAAACTGTTCCTGACCAGAAAGCAGAGTCATAATATTACACTTGAACTTCAGACAACAAAGCTTTTCTGTTTATTCAAGAGTCATAATATTACACTTGAACTTCAGACATTAAAGCTTTTCCGTTTATTCGTCATAATATTACACTTTAACTTCAGGCAACAAAGCTTTTCTGTTTATTCGTCATAATATTACACTTGAACTTCAGACAACAAAGCTTTTCCGTTTATTCAAGAGTCGTAATATTACACTTGAACTTCAGACAACAAAGCTTTTTTGTTTATTCATTTGCTTAGTTTCTAAATTGATTATGTTTAAAATTTTATAATTTCTAGGCTGATTAAAATTTTATAAAACACGTCAAGTTTTCATTTTAATTCAATGTAGAATATAATGGAGGACTTGCTGAAACTCTGAAGTACCAATAACTCTAAGTGAGTTTGGAGACTTTGGTTAAGGCTGAAAATTACCTACTGTATTTGCTTGAATATAATGTGCACCCAATTTCGAAGAAAATTAGTTTTTTACCCATCAGTAGTACAAAATGTATTGAATAGTTTCTAAGTACAGTAAACAACTACCAATGTGTTAAACATGTTTGGAAATCTTTCATTGACATTTCTTTTACGTGTGAATTTTCCAAAATTTATTGAAAAGTTTATAGGTGGTAACACACTAAGCTAATCATTCCTCTTCACATAAATCTTCATGGTCGCTACCATTGGATTCATCAGATTTATTTCCTTCCCATAGCATGTCACCATCCACCGTATTGGATATGCAAGACTTTCTGAAACCTTGATGACTTTTGGGTGGTAGCATCTAGTATAATACATAACAAAATTGAAAGTGTGTAAATATAATGTGCAGTCAATTTTTAGGGAGGTATTTGGAGGGAAAAAAAAAGTCCACATTATATTTGGACAAATACGATATTTGCATTGTTTCCTGTAATAGTAACAATTTTCTAGGTAAACAGATTTAAAAAATGCCAAAGAAACCAACAGTAGTTCACCGTTGTAGGAATAATTTTTTCTGAAGGCTGTGGTAGATTTTCTTTCTGGAGAAATTGATCGGTAGTTTTCAATGAGGGTTATTAGTGATGGTTTAATATTCTTTTAGGTACAGTGTTATATGTTATCCAGCATTTCATCTGCAAATTTACAAAGCAGTCATGACTGAATTTAAAACCACTGTTTGATTGTACATACTATTTTGAGAAACTTCTTGAATTACTGGATTGTTACTCGTTTTTTGAGCCGATTATTGAGGAATGAAGTCAATAACCACAGAAGATTAATGTCCTAAGTTAGTGGTTCCCAACCTCTCCAACTAAGGACCAGCTAGTTTCGATTCCAGATTTCATGACTGCTTCATAAAGTATTAACTTTTATATTACAATATAAAATAATATACTTAAGTAGCTATATTTTAAAATCCTTTTTTTAACCATAAATCCACGTGGACTGGCACTGGTCCACGGACCACTGGCTAGAAAGTATCAGCCTAAGTAAGATGACTGGACTTGAGAATAAGTTTCAGTAAATTTTGTTAAGAGTAAAGTTTTACCAAATAGTAACAATATTTTTTGAAATATCAGGTGAAGAGTGTGATACAAAAAAAAGTTAATGAATTCATTTCAACATTTTTTCATCTTATAGAAGGTGAACACTTATCTGTATGCATATGAATATTTAGATGTTTACTATGTAAACTAGAATCTTAGGAAATGTTTATTTTTCTTGAATTACACCACACAAATGTTCTTTTCTCTATATAAATCTTTGAAACGTAACATACATTTTTGTTTTATCACAAAGTATTTTTGATAATTGTTGAGTTTACTACACTTAAACTAAATTACTCAATTGTTTTGTTACTGTAGTTTGGGTATTCTTTTTATAAGGAAATGTTTGGTTTATATTGTTATATAAGTTACATACGTTAAAGGAATTTTCAGCTGAAACTGCTTTTATTTTATGCCAGTTTCTCCTTTCTCAATTGACTATTGATTTACAGATACTAACCATGACTAAAAACCAGTAAAAATTCATTAGATATTATTATCTAAAGGCCAGTTCAGAGTCAAATAAAATTCATTAGATATTATTATCTAAAGGCCAGTTTAGAGTCAAATAAAATTCATTAGATATTATTATCTAAAGGCCAGTTCAGAGTTAAG